GTTCACTGCTTCTCTGTGTTCACTACTTCACTGGGTTCACTGTGTTCACTGTGCTTCACTGTCTTCACTGTGCTTCACTGTGTCACTGCTTCACTGCTTCACTGTGTTCACTGTGCTTTACTGTGCTTCACTGTGTTCACTGTGTTCACTGCTTCACTGTGTTCACTACTTCACTGTGTTCTTTTTACAGTTAACTATAACTGTTGTAGCGAATCAGCTCATTCATGGGGACTGTATCTATTTGATAAATGAAGTTAACCAACTAACATTATACATACCCTTTTGGTTTCTGTACCCAATATTTAAAAAATGTACAAATGCAATAAAAATATCGGTATCGGCAAGTACCAAAAATAAAAGTATCGGTATCGGGCGAGTACTGGAAAAAGTGGTATCGGTGCATCCCTAAAAATAACTAAAAAACTTTAAAATAACCTTTTGTAAAAAAATATAATTAAAATAAACTTAATAGTAAAAAACTTAAAATTAATAAATAAAACTTAAAATAAAAAACAAATATCCATCCATTTATCCATCCATCAATTTTCTGGTGCTTATCCGGGACCAGTTTGTGATGCCAGCAAATAATTTTTACTAAATTAAAGGTAAATAATATTACCTAAAAAATTATATTTTCATAATCAAAATAAACTTAAACTGAAAATAAATAAATAAATTGTTTTATTAAAAAACAAATAAAACAAAAATCTGTTTTTTAAAATGGAACATTTCATGCAACCTTTAAACAAATTATGAACAATGCAATTATGAAATATTACTACAGTTATTCTGACTTGATTAAAATCAGTCAAGATTTGACAGCAGAAAAACACATGAAGCTCCAGCTGAAGCTGGACGTTTGTACAATTATAAACACAGTTTGATCATTTATAGAAATTCACGCGTCTAATATGATCCTTTAGGCTTTCTAGGGTTAAAGAGTTTCTTCTTGAGTGTAAATGAGGGTTAAATGAGCTTCAGTGGCTCTGGACAAACACACGGCTCTCAAGTCGACATCTGCTTTCCGTCGAGAGCCGCACTGATGTGACAGAAGCTACTCATTAACTGTTTCAACACTTCACACACATCATGCTGAACGAGTTACGCACACGGACACACTCAGAGGAAGTGATGCGTTTCACTTCCTGTGAACACAAACCAGCGCTGACATACTCGACACATGATGAGTGTTTGAAATGGGGTGGATAATAATGTCAGGATGCTGCAGGAGTGATTTATTCTGCACATTTGAGCCACGCAACTAAAACCATAAAAACATTTTTGTTACTTGACATAAAATAAATGTTAACCAAAGTAATTTTTAAAAAATATTTTATTTTAGTTTTTTAATGTTTTTTAAAAAATACTTCACCTTAAACATGAAAAAAAAAGATATAGAATTTTTTACTTTGGCAACTAACTGGAATAAAATAAGTTTAATTTTATTAAAGTTAATACCGTTAAAAAATTTTTTTTATTTATTTATGTTAATGTTTATTTTATGTCAAATAACATGTTTTTTGTAAAAGTTTTTTGTACTTCAGCTTAACTTAAACGGAAATTAGAAATATTGCTTTGGGCATGTAACTGAAATAAAATAAGTTTCAGTTTTTTACATTTTATTTTATTCAAGTTAATGTTTATTTTATGTTAAGTAACATACATGTTTATGTTTTTAGTTTAGGCTTTTTTTAGTACTCAACTTTTTTTTTTTACTACATTACTTCAAAAAATTATTAGAAAATTAGAAAATGTTATGTTATTTAGTTGCCATGTCAAAATTTCTAATGTTCCTTTAGTTTAAAGTTCTAAAAGAAAAAGTAAAACTGAAATAAAATAAATAAAAGCTATAGAGACATATTAAAAAATAATAAAAATGACACAACAAAATTACTAAAATTGTAACTAAAACTATAACGTCAAATATATAAACAACAAATTTAAATGATTAATATTACTAACATTTTAACTAAGATTAAAATGGAAAATATTAAAATAACTAATTTAAATGATTGATGAAAATGATTAAATTATGATTTTTAAAAATTATATAAATTATGAACTAATTGAAAGCTTGTAGATTTAAATTCTGTGAACCATCACCATTGCACACTTGAGCACATATCCTGCTTTCTGGATGGATTTACTGATCAATGTTAGCATTTACACCGCAGAAAATTCACACAGGCATAAATGGACAGTACTGATTAGTTTGCACTGTTGCCGTGTTGTATTTTCAGCTTGTAACCTTTGTGATTTCCTGTCGTCAGGTTCAGCGTTCATGATGGTGAACACCTCGGGACGGTCCTCCGGTCAGAGAGCTCAGCTCTACCTGCCGCAGTTCAAAGAGAACGACACCCACTGCGTCATATTCCAGTATTACGCCGCCAGTCGAGAGGGATCGAGTCCCAGCCAGCTGCTCATCTACGTCAAGGAGAACAACAGTCCTCTGGGCTTCGCTGTGTGGAACTCGTCCGGACCGGCCTTCCAGAAGTGGCAGCAGGTGGAGCTGGCCATCAGCACCTTCTGGCCCAATTTCTACCAGGTGAGAATGTGTTCATTCAACAGCTAATTCTGTCATCAAACGCTGCGGCCCGTCTCATTCATTAATTCCGTTTCCTGTTGCTCTTGACACAAAGTGGCTCGTGTTTGACGACTCGACACCTGCAGGTCCATGCGCCGCCACCGCCTTAATTAAAAGAGGAAGTTCAATTATTTTTCGATGAAACGCTCCCCCATCGGCCTCACAAATGAGTTTGGTTTGTACCGACCTGCAGGAAGTTCCTCGAAACCTCGATGTATGGCATTCAGCTGCTGATGTGTTTGGTGTGTCGTGATGGGACATATCATGAAAATCTGACTTTTCCAGGTTGTAAGTGCTATAATCAGGTCCCCCATTTTCAAAATGATATAATAAATGATCTGTGGAGTATTTTGAGCTGAAACTTCACAGACACATTCTGGGGACACCTGAGACTTATATTACATATTGTAAAAACGGGCATAATATGTCTCCTTTAAAAAATGTATTAATAAATATTAATAGTAATAATAATAGAGTGATTTCTTTCAGTTCATTTATTAGTTAATTTATATAAAATATACAAAACATATAATTTATGTTTCTATAATTTAATTAATTTATATATTTTTATTTTTATTGGATCAGTGAAGTATGCAATCAAAAATTGCAATTTTTTAAATTTAAACTCACTTATTTAACATGAATATTGGGGATTGTGGGAGTGTTTGGGAGACTTGTGCTTTAAAATAGTGCTGAAACTATATACTTCATGAGTGATTCAATGTGAGTCATATAGACAGTTATTTGGTTTGTTCCTGAGTGAATCATTGTTTTGTTCTAATTGGTTCAGTGAATGATTCAATGACTTATATCATAGACAGTAACTTGGTTTGCTTCTGAATGAATCACTGTTGTGTTCTGATTGGTTCAGAGAATGATTCAGTGACTCACACATATAGACACTCACTTGGTTTCTTCCTGAATGAATCACTGTTTTGTTCTAATGGGTTCAGTGAATGATTCAGTGACTCATATCGTAGACAGTAACTTGGTTTGAACCTGAATGAATCGCTGTTTTGATCTAATCTGTTCAATGAATGATTCATTGACTCATTCATAAAGACTGACACTTGTTTTGTTCATGATCGATTCATTGAATGATTCAATCACTCATCGCAGAAATAGTAATTTAACTCTTTCCCTGCCAAACACAGAATTTTCCGGGTTTACGCGTTCTCGCTGTTATACGCTCTGAGGCGCTATTACGCGTCTCCTGAATGAGTCTAGAATGTGCCGATCAAAAACACAGGCGAGGAAGACGCAGAAACGAGCGATCTCCTATGTATGCATATGCATATGAAAAACAATGCGATCATCAACAATAAACAGCATATAAATGAAAACTGCCTAATGTTACCGAGTGAAATGTCGATCCCGGAAGTGGCAAAGGACTGTGAAGCTTTGGGGGTGTTGATGGAAGCGATCTACTGCATCTATGCTTTGATCATCGAACTAAATATGATCTAGATGTAGTTTTTGATAAAAATGCTATTTTCTCAGCTTTTTGCTCAAAATTTTGCTTTTTTTAAAAATAAAACTTACCTACATTCAAGTGTTGATAAAAAAAGAATGCTTGAAGCTTGAATAAAACAGATTTTTTATTTAAAAGTAGAGGCTCTGTTCTTTATTTCGATGTATTGCATGTTCAGATATTCATACAACAAAATATTCTGGGGGCCATGAAATTTTAGTGAAAAACATAAAAAATGCTGGCGGTGGCTGGCAACTTTTTTCAAAAACGCTGGGGGTGAAAGAATGACAAATTATAAGTATTATTAGTGTTCTTTTTATTTCTTCTTCTTATTATTATTATCCATTAACATCCATTTATTTATTTATTTTCTTATTTAAGTAAGTAGTTTCTGCGTCACTATTTTAATTTCAAAGCAAATAGCATTTATTTTCCAAACCGGTTTTCTTCTGCTCTGTGCTTCTTCAATACTCAATACAGAATTCAAACTGAGACTGAGATTTTTGATCGCACACTTCACTCTCTTGTCAAATCAGAGCACAGCATTGTTGAGATCTCTTCTGAAACTCAAGAGCAGACACATGTAAGCCTCCTGAGGTCTTTTTCTCAGGAGAAACAGCTGAGAAGCAGTAGAGACTCTGTGTTGAGTCTGATGTGTGATTTCTCTTCCGTTGGGAACACACTTCATCTTGAGTTAGTATTTTATCCCGTCGTGTGTTCATGAGCATCAGCGTCCTCACGCTCATCAAACGTGTGAGAGACTGCTGGACGACCGACAACAAAAGCATCCAGAAGTCCTCAGAGAAATAAGCAGCATCTGCCGAGAGACATGAATCGCGTCTCCATCCTGCAGCGGCGCGCACGTAATTGCTGAGAAATGCGAATGTGACTTTTTAATACAAGCAGAGATTAACAATGCAATCTTCAATTCTTCAGTGCTGTGACTAATTAGCAATGCTAGGCTAATTGCAGGCTTGTGTAATTGCACTGTATCTTAAGAGTTTGTCAAGATGAAACCACCTGGTACATGGAAAATACTCGGCTCTCTTATTTTGTAATTACAGGGTTTGTGTTTTTATCTCCTGTTGCGCTTTTCTTCTAGTGCACAACGACTAATTGCATCGCGCTCGCTTCTGTTTTAATTGACAGTATAGTTTGAGTACGTGAATTGTGTCGGTCCCGTCCTGTCGTGACATTTCACGCTGGATATTTTTAATGCACAGGTGAGATGGAGGATGCACACGTGACCTCTGCTTTGTTCCTGCGGCGCTGAAGACCGCGAGAAACTGTGTGTTTAATTCTGATTGACAAACAGATGCGGCTTGAGTCTTTTGAAAAACGGCTCACAAATAAACACCAGAACAAAAGAGATCAGACTCAAACGCTGAAGATAAATGCTATTCGTTTTCTAAATGGCGTTTATGTAGTTGCAGTTATTAACATCGTCTGTCATTTGATGCACTGATGGGCATTACAGGAGGTCATATGCGTCCAAAACCCAATGAAACAAACTAAATTTTTACATGAGATTAATTATGTAATTAGAGAAGAATTGAGATCAGGTTGTTCTTGTCTGTTTTATTCAGAAAGTTGGCAGAAAGTTTTCATTTTAGCTACAGTATTCAACAAATCAAAATAAATGAAGCATATTAAAAATATGTGACCCTGGAGCACAAAAGCAGTGTTAAGTCGCTGGGGTATATTTGTAGCAATAGCCAACAATACATTGTATGGGTCAAAATTATTGATTTTTCTTTTATGCCAGAAATCATTAGGATATTAAGTACAGATCATGTTTCATGAAAATATTTTGTAAATTTCCTACATTAAAACTTAATTTTTGATTAGTAGTATGCATTGCTAAGAACTTCATTTGGACAACTTTAAAGATGATTTTCTCAATATTTAGATTTTTTTTGCACCCTCAGATTCCAGATTTTCAAATAGTTGTATCTCGGCCAAATATTGTCCTATCCTAACAAACCATACATCAATGGAAAGATTATTTATTTTTTATTTATTGTGAAAAATTGACCCTTATGACTGCTTTTGTGGTCCAGGGTCACATATAGTATCTTCAATCACAGATATTCCTGTACGGACTGAAGCTATTGTTGTATTTGTTTACATCATACTTCATTTTATTAATGAGATTATAAATTGATCCAGTAAAAACAGGCTCCAATTTAAAAACAGACCGTGCATTTGGTCTTAAAGTGACAGCAACCTAATAAACCTGCTTAATGAAAAAAAACAAAAAAACAATACCAATAGGGTCCTCACACCATCGGTGCTCGGGCCCTAAATATCAGTGTATATTTAATTCAATTGGTTTTACATTTGATTATTTAATTTCTATTTTTACCTGAACCTACCTGAAAACTTAAAGCACTCTTCATTTGTATATTTGTCTAATTGTTTGTGTGTATATATATATATATATATATATATATGGGACTGACTTTGACTGACTTTATGTCCTGCTCACAGTGGCGTTTAACATGGAATGTCACGACTCGCCCTCGCATGAGTCCGTCATAAAATTACAATTAGAGGCCTTGATGCTGGCAAGCGTCTGCTAAACGACAGCAGAATGAAAATCAATTTGATTGGCCTAATAATGTGATTTGTGTGCCACTAATGATTCACTTCATTTGCTCTTTTGTTCAGGCCGCATCGACAGTGTCTCATTCAGGTTCTCCTGAGAGACGTTTACTGCTGAATGATATTAAAGATCAGTGAACTCCAAGAGTGACTGACTCGAAACATACCAGAAAATACCACAACATTACTATGGGTATTATCTTGTGGTAATTGCATGGTGTTCTTTGAAGTACCATGTGAATATTATATGAACATGGTAATGAGTATCTTGGTATATGAAAGTATAGAATACCAGTATTGCTGTGATTTTGGCATGGTAACATGCTAATATTGTGTTTTTAAGATTATACTTTTAGACAATTATTTAGAAGTATTTTGCAAATATAATGTAAATTTATGCAAATACTATGGTACATGATTATGATAATAATAAAAGTACCATGGTATTTTATTCTGACGTTTTCCTGTCGTCACCAATTTTCATTTTAATTTTAGTTAAAGTTTTACGAGTTTTATTGTGCTTTTGTCTTTTTTATATATTTATACTTAGCTTTAATTTATTATTATTTCAATTTTAATTGTAGTATTTTTAGTTACTCCAACTTATTTAAATTAAACATTTCTAATTTTTATGTACATTTTTCATTTCAGCTTTATTTCAATTAACAGTTTTTAATAGTTTTAGTTTCGGTTAACAATAAAGACACTGAAATAAAGTATGTAAGTGCTGCTGAAGTGGAGAAAAAACTCTTTAAAGAAATAAGTTGGAAATGAAAGCTACAGGCACAAATAGATAAAACATTCAAAATACACTTTTTGTATTACACTTACTTATTACAAAATACACTTAAAATAAACAAGTGTTTATTTTATTGCAATTTCTTTCCACTAATCTGAAACACCACATTATGAAAAGACAAATAGCCCAAAATCTGACCAGTGCATAAAATAAACTTTTGCCTGTAGTGTCTTGCCTTAAGAGACGTCATTCTTAAATCAAGAAAAACATAAACCTGTTTTCCCTTTTAATTTGTCTATTAATTAGATAAAACCAGGTTCAAATTCTTGTTTGATTTTGTTGCCATATTAGAGTTTTTCCAGATGGGATTTTGGATTTCTCTTTTTATCACTCCGTAAATCAGAAATACTGTCAACAGCCAGAAAAACTAAATTTTCACCATGTTTTTGGGAATAAAGCGTTATATAATTCAGTGTGAATGATATATGAACAAACCCCTCAGTAAAAACCTTCAGAATATAGAGAGGAATAAAACTGTAAGTTTTGGTGTTTGTAAGTGCTGCTGAAGTGGAGATAAAATCTCACAGCTTTTAAAAAATATGCATTTTCGCCATGTTTTTGGAAATAAAATGTTGTATAAATCAGTGTAAATGATATATGAGCAAATCCCTCAGTAAAAACCTTCAGTAAAAACCTTCAGAATATAGACAGGAATAAAACTGTAAGTTTTGGTGTTTGTAAGAGCTGCTGAAGTGGAGATAAAATCTCACAGCTTTTAAAAAATATGCATTTTCACCATGTTTTTGGAAATAAAGTGCTGTATAAATCAGTGTGAATGATATATGAACAAACCCCTCAGTAAAAACCTTCAGGATATAGAGAGGAATAAAACTGTAAAGTTTGGTGTATGTAAGAGCTGCTGAAGTGGAGGTTAAAACTTAAATATTGTATTGGAATTGAAAATCTACAGGCAAATAGATAAAGTGCAATAAAATTAACACTTAAATTGTGTTTTTTCCACTAGTCTGACAGAAGACATGATATGGAAACAAAACAGACCTGAAAAATGACCAGAGCATGAAAACACACTGGTTTTGCCTGAAGTGTCTGGCCTTAAACTCTGTTGTGAATCTCTGATAATGCTGATGAAGTGTTGTGTTTGATGCTTTCTCTCAGTGTCTCTCTGTGTCTCTGGTTTCAGCTGGTGTTTGAGGTGGTGGCGTCCGGTGAACAGGGTCTGCTGGCCGTCAGAGGAATCTCGCGTCAGGGTCATCAGTGCAGTAAGTGTCATGAGGCGTGAACACGCGTGTCACAGGGCTTCACTATCTGCTGCCGCCGCACAGAACCGACCGCAGACGCGCTTCCTTTAAAAACAGATTAAAGAACAGAGTCACCAAACACTGCATTCCCACAATCCCCTCTACTCTTGTGTGTTCCTGTGTGAGCTCGGATGATTACAAACACTCATCACCCGCCAAAATATGTTCTAGCCACTTACACAAAGCTGAAAGTGTGTGTGTGTTGATTTGTTTGAGTGTGAGTCACTTTGACCGTTTGGTAGTCACTCATTTTTATTTCGGTACTTTCTTCCATTTCAGCTGATGCCACTTAGGCTGTGTGGGTTAGTTAATGTTAACTAATGCTGCTGTAGGTGATTCATCCTGTCTAACATTTTGAAGGGACGGTTCATCCATCATTTACTCTCCTTCATGTTGTTCTAAACCTCTGTGACTTTCTTCTGTTAATGTTTTTCATACAATTACAAGAAACTAAAGCTTTAAAAAAGACACTAAAACCCATCAAAGTATCATGACAGTCACCCATATGACTTGTGCTCTGTATTTCGAAGCTTCTGAAGTCATATGACGCTTTGTGTTAGAAAAATGTATTTTAATATGATTTGTTAATTAATATTAATATATTACTTATTAATTAATATTAATATATGTATTATATGTATATGACCTTGTATTTTTATTTTTTCATTTTTTCGTTGTTTTTTTTTTTATACGTACTTTTGTCATTTTTATGAATAATTATTATATAATAAATTTCATTTTTATAGCATATTATTGCATATTATATTATATAAAAAATATATATTTTTTTATCCTTTACGTTATAATAAAGCACTTCACTTGAGAACAAGCAAATAACTAATATAACGAGATAAAAATAAAACCCACTTTAGAATGATAATAAAAGACAAAAATTAATGTACATATTTATTTAATGTAAATAATATTTAATGTGAATGCATAACAAAATATGGCAGTTATAACCAAATAATAATAAAAGATAGCATAGTACATAGAAAAAAACTTCTAGTTAAAAGCCAAAGTAAAAGCTACTTAGGAATGTTTTTTTAAATAAAATATATTGAATATATACAGTATCTATTGATAATGTGTCCCATAGGTTTGAGGCTTGATTGACAAAAAATGTGATATTTTTTACTTTATTTAACTTAAATTTTTAAATTTATTTTTCAGTATATTTCCATTTTAGTTTATTAATTTCAGTTTTTAATTTGAGTTATTTTAGTACTTAAACTTATTCTATGTGTTTTTCACTGGTTCCTTAAATGCAGAAGCTCCACTGGTGATTATGTAAGGATCAGTTTTCATAAACAGCAGTTGATCATGACAGATATGAAGTCATACAGCATCACGATCTTGTAATTAATAATCGTCTCTGAATGTCCTGTATAACGTGGTTCATCAGCTGATAAATGAAAGCACGTTTGGTTTTGAATGATGTTTCTCTGAGCGTCTGACCTTCACTCTTTCACCTGCTCATCCATCTCTCCTCGTCTGTTATTCATCACTCTTAGAGTCGTTCCCTCCGTCTCTCTTCCCTCGTTCGTTCTCAAACTCCTGTTTCCATGTGAAATCACATTATTTCCAGTTAAATGCATGCAGATCATGAATCCTCTAGTATCAGATCGGTTGAGTTCAGATCTTCAGATGAAGGTCACGACTAATTAAAATCACATTAACTTTCATTAACTCACCTTCACTAGTTATTCTGATTTCTTCCTCTGTTACTTGAATTAGTTTTTTCTCTGTTATGAATCTGATAGACGGTTTCTCATTCAGGCTGATGTGTGTGTGTGTGGCGTTTCTATGACCTTTCCTCACGCTTCTTTCTCAAACTCCTGCTTATACATGAAATCACATTATTTCCAATTAAATGCATCGCATGTGTTTGTGTGTTTATGTGCTCAGCAGTACTTTAGTATTATTTATATAATATTATACTTTTTAGTAAATATTTTCATGTTAGTTTAATTACTAGCATTTTAGGTTTAATTTTAATAAAAAAAAGGTTTTATTTATTTAACTTTATTTTAAAATTGATTTAGTTTTAGTTCAGTTTTACTTTAGTCTTTACAACTTTACAGATCTTCTTTATGCACCAAGAGCTTGTAACACTCCAAAGAGAAAGGAACAATTGAAATCGCATCATATGACCCCTTTAATATTATTTCTTAAGTTATATTTTCAATTGTCATTTTATTTTCATTTTATTAATTTTTTTAATTTAAGGTTTTATTTCATTTTATTTTTAAATTTGGTTTTAGTTCAGTTTTAGTATTTATTTTATTTCCAGTTAGCTTCAAAATTATTTTATTTTATTACAGTTTTAACACAGCAGTTCCGTCCATATTATATCTTGCTTTTTAATTGGCTTTTTAATTTTACATATAATATTTATATTTTATTTGATTTCAGCTTTGTCAGTTTAGTTAATGATAGTAATAATCCTTTTGGTCAGTGAACAAACATCTCTCTGACTGACAGGATCTATATTTCCTCTTCACAAACAAAAGCAGCAGAACATCTGATTGAACACACACACACACACACACACTCTCTCTCTCTCACACACACACACTGTTAGTTTAATTACTAGCATTTTAGGTTTAATTTTAATAAAAAAAAGGTTTTATTTATTTAACTTTATTTTAAAATTGATTTAGTTTTAGTTCAGTTTTAGTATTTATTTATTTCCACTTGGTGATCCAGTTAAAGGCATCGCATGCATTTGTGTGTGTGTATGTGCTCACTAGTGTTATTTTATTATTATTTATGTCATATTAAAGTTTTTATTATAATTTTTAATTAGCTTTTATTTTTATAGTTTCAGTTATTTTAATTTTAGTTTAATTTTTAGTAATTGTAATATTTTAGGTTTAATTTTAATTCAAAAAAATCTATTTTTAAAATTTTTTTAGGTTTAATTTATTTAATAATTTATTTATATATTACTTATTTATTTATTTTTTAGTTTTAGTTCAGTTTTCGTATCTATAATAAATCAATAAACACAAAAAAACAAAAAAGCTGCTCAGGCAACATTTCTAATTTCCTTCTAAGATATCTATTTTATTTCATCTCCCCTTCCGCTGGTTCTCTCTCAGTTTTTCTGGGTTCTGGGGCTGATGGCCGGTTTCTCATTCAGGCTGATGTGTTTCGTGCCTCTCTGACCTTTCCTCGCGCGTTTCTCTAAGTGCTGCGTCTGGAAAACGCTCCTCGCTGCCCTTGAACCGCAGCGGCTGATCCTGTAATATCTCACTCACTCACACTCTCACACACACACACACACACACACACACATATTTGCATTTGTGGTTTACGGGGACTCTTTAATGCTCTTTACTGCAATCGTTCACTCGGTTGCGCTTGTGTTCTATTCTCAGGGCATCAGAGGACGCGAGGCTCCTATGAAGGACACCAAACCCGTGAACTCCAGACGCTACACAGCCACCTTTGACATTGTCAACACCACCAAAGAAGACTCGGGCCGCTACCGCTGCATCGTGCGCTCTGAGAAAGGAGTCGGAGCGTCCAGTTACGGAGCTCTGGTGGTCAAACGTGAGTTTTCATTACCACTCAATAATTAATAGACGGTGATGGAGAACGCTCATAATTCTCTGGAGGTCGTGTAATATCCAGCTTACATTCAGTCGAATGTCTTTATGCACCATATATTTGGCACGCTGGTCTCCACAGACCATAATATCAACTAGTTCCTCAGTTCCACAGTGGAAATGAAGCGGCATGAATATAAAAGGACATATTCCTTCCAATTGTTAATTTTGTCTTTGCAAAGAAAATGAAAAAAAAAAACAATTACAAAAGAAAAGAAAGTTGCATAAGTTCAGAATGAGTCATTTTGTAGTTTAGTTTGCAGTCAAAGCTCTTTTTGAACTGTAGAGGATGTTTTATTAGGGAAATTAAGATAATTTACAATGTTTCTGTAACACTTTACAGTAAGGTTCCATTAGTTAATGTATTAACTAACATGAACAAACAGTGAACAGTACATTTATTACAATATTTGTTCATCTTTGTTAATGTTAGTTAATGAAAACACAGTTACTCATTGTTAGTTCATGTTAGTTCACAGTGCATTAACTAATATTAACAAGCACAACTTTTGATTTTAATAATGCATTAGTAAATGTTGAAATTAATATTAATAAATGCTGTAGAAGTGTTGTTCATTCTTAGTTCACGTTAAATAAAGTTGTTAGTGAACTTTATTGTAAAGTGTTACCAGTGTTTCTTACTGGCCATGAAACTGAATTTTCCAGTATTTTTATTACAAAAATATATATTTTCTTATGACAAATGAATTATTTAGCTGTTTTTTTCTTGTATGTTAGTGACAATTAACTTAATGAAGCTGGCGCCAAAGTCAACTTTTACATGCATTTGGTGCAGAATCTAAAAATATATAATATTTCTTCCAATTGTTAATATAGTTTAAAAAAAAACAAATAAGTTGCATTAGATTAAAATAAGTAATTTTGTAGTTTAGTTCAGTTTCTTTTTAGTCAGTAGAGGATGTTTTATGGGTGAATTATGAGAATTAACCAGTTTAACCAAATATTTTTTACATGCATTTGCTGTTTGGCAAAATCAGTTCTGTTGCAGAAGTTCAACATGCATAAAATTTCTTCTAATTGTTATATTTGTTTATGAATAAAAAAAAAAAGAAAAGTTACATAAGTTCAGAATGTCCTGTTTAGTTTCTGTAAAAGCTCTTACTGTAAAGAATGTTATGATGGGTGAATAAATAAAATCAAGCAGCCTAAAATATATTTTTTACTGTAAATGCAAAAGAAGAAGATCTTATTCGGCAGTCGCTTGTGTCGGCGTTTCACTAGTTTTGGATCAGAGCCGGTGTGTGTGTGATATATATGAGTTCTGTCATTAAAACGAGTGTTGGGCTGTAAATCTTGCTCAGATTTCCTCTCTGGCCTCTGTTTCGTGTCAGACTGCATCAGGCTTTATGTGTGCTTGCTAGCGGTGGTTCCTCTCTGCTCCTCTCGTTCATCACGCCTCTCTCTGCTTATTAGCCCAGATTGGCTCAGCAAATCGTATTATTTTACATTTTGCCCCTTTAGATTAATTATCGGCCTTTGGGGAGGTGTGAAACACGTTTGGTTGGAGACTCTCATTCGTGTGTGTGTGTGTGTGTGTGTGTGA